CTACTGTTAGTGAAGATTATGAAAATATTCTGGTACATTCGAAAAACGAACTTTTAAAATTAGTCTTTCGAACAAAGTAATGAATTTAGTTAAAATTTCTTAACAAATGGTATTTTGGTACCAAAACTTCTAACCCAGGCACAGATCTCGACAATGGAAACATAGGTTTTATTTCCCAAATGTGTAGTTCTGTTTTTTCCTTCAGGTCTGTACCCTAGTCTAGATTATAATTTTTCTTCAATAAAGATCTATAACACAGAACCAATTAAAATTTAAAATGTGATTGGAATATAATTTTCGTGTCGTTAACAAAATTAAAACTTTATAACTACTTGACTAATGTCCTAACTCATTTAACTTATATGTATTTGTATGTACATACATATAAACTCATAATGTAAACTACAAATTTCTAAAGAGGAATACAATTTTTGCTGATAATCCAATTGTGTAAACTCGTATAAGATCATTGTCACTGGCTGCTGAAATAAATGCAGGATTGTAATATTGTTTACCTTGGAAAGAAACTAGTCTGCCTTATGGTGAGTGATCATTGTGATGGATATCAGTAATGCTGGATTACCGTTTTCTACTACTAAGTAAGAGTCACGAAAAATACACTACATAGGCGTATTGCGTATAGAAGGAAAATATTTACAAAGTGTTATCAATCGGATCAGCAATAGCGCCGGTGTTTAAGGTTGAAGTCTACTCCGAGGGCGAGCATTATTAAGAAAAAAAAACATTCATAAAGATTCATTTCACACAATTCCTCACATTTGACTCTGTGTCAAATACAACACTGCTTATGTAGGTACCCTTTACAGAGATTCATATTGATATCATTACATTTTGTAATTACATTCACAATAATAAGACCGTGAACCAGAACAACAACTGTCGGAATTCATTTTACAAATACATATTTGACAACCACATAGTGCATCAGCGTAATTATAAACTTACGTGGTACGCATTAAGAACTAAAAAAATGACCTTCAACCATGACACACGATTTAAAAGTGTGCACGAAAATTGGTTCGGATGGAACATAAATTTATACAGTGATACAATCAGGATCATAGGTCGTTATGCTTGTGATGGCGGATTGTCATCGTTTGAAAATAAAATAATAAATTTAAATATTGTTATCGTATTTTAGTAGCTGTCTCAATCTATTTCACGTATTAAATGGCGCACATACTCACATACGTGTCATACCTATTTTTACAATAAGTAAAAAATATCACTATTCTTCATTTGCCTTCGAATTCTGTCTCATGAATTTTTCGTCAAACTTTCGTTTCAACTTTAAAATAATGCACTTAACTTCTAAAACTGGTAACACTGATATTTCTAGGGTCAAAGCCGAGCGCGTCAGTGGACCGTATCAAGGCCTATTGTCATTCAATCGGGACATATTGTGGTCTTTGTCGGGCGCGGCCGTAGTCCAACAGGTCATTCGACATGGGGATGCCGCTGGTAAAATATGACAAGCATGCGTACATGTTTCGGATCAAATATGTAACAAGCTAAACAATATCTTACAGCAAAAAATCGAGAAGAAACTATCAAAGTTTAATAACGATTATATTAGTAGAGAATAGGATGCACTTGCTACATTTTAGGATGGATTATTGTCTAGCTTTGATAACTACAAAAAAAAAAAGGTGTGGCACTCGGGAACTGCCGCGGTAAAGCTATTACATAGCATTTTTTATCAACTTATGCAATTATAATTAGACAATGATAATTTAATATTAAAACAATAATAAAACAAGACCACGCTATATTAAACATTAATAAAAGCAAAACCTTAACTGTCCCCTTCACACTCATAAGCTAGACCGCGCGAGAGAGAGATGGGCAGACTTTTCATGATGCTCAACACGAGCTACATGGTAGGCGGAGTGAGGGGTGTAAGGTTTTTTTCGTTACGGAATTTCATGAATCGGTCGCCGCGCTCAAGGCCCGCGATAAAATCTATGCAATAGCTTAAAAATAAATTATGATACTTTTTATTTTATATACTCGTATTATTTAATATCTAGTATTAAATAAATTAATACTATTAAATAAATACTAGGTATATAAAGAGGTATAAACCCAAAAATACAAATGAAAATAAATACCGACGGCTAAATGAAGCTCGGTCTGAAGTAGTCGGATAAAAAGGATTTATTTAGATGTACTACACTAAACTGCAATGCTACTAATTTCATAATTTAATTTAGTTCTAAACAGACTATGAAATGCATTTTTGCAAATGAATGCATTAGTGAAAGCTTTCCCAAATAGTAGTTAATTAACGTATCTAGCCCCCAATTGTGTGAAAACGTAAATAAACATTTATTTACGAAATTCATTATCGTCGAATATACGAGACAAAGATGTGTTTTTTAACAAATAATTACGTAACTGAAAATATTTTATGTACCTTTTTTAAAGAAGAACTGGACATTAAAACTTCGCCTTCCATCATATGCCTTCCCAGAGTACCGGACTTCTTTGAACACATTTCTTAAAAAGAGAGTTACAATCCCGAACAGCTGGTGGTTATAGTCAAGAGGCAACCATCCCAGAGGACGCATCCCACGAGATGGTCGGATCAAATTCGATCTTCTTTGAACATCAAGTTCCACGATACCCTTCACGAAACCAAGATTCGCAGCCGATGGAGGGAAATCGTACGTGATAGAATGATAAAGCGGGGGAGTCGCGTCATGAGGAAAGCGACGCAAGAACTCGAGGAAGAGGAGGAAGAGGACCACTTTTGACAAAATAAATCTTAGCACCAGAACAACTAAATCAATTTTGTCTTGTATTAATTAATTAATATATTCTATAGGTCACTAGGCAAATTGTAAGAATCACAAATTAGTAAATGCTAAATAAAATCTGATTTATGTCTTATGTCTCGACCAATTAATACTATAAAGTTATTTAAAACAATCAAAAAACGTAATACTTGAAAATAACTATTACTTCTTTTTTTTTATTGCCTTTGTAGGCAGACGAGCGTACGGCCCACCTGATGAGTGAGTCTTGTGAGTCCGCGCGTGTAGGTACCACCACCCTGCCTATTTCTACTGTGAAGCAGTCATGCGTTTCCGTTTGAAGGGTGGGGCAGCCGTTGTAACTAAAGTAAGATCTTAGAACTTATATCTCAAGGTGGGTGGCGCATATACGTTGTAGATGTCTACGGGCTCCAGTAACCAATTAACACCGGTTGAACTGTGACCCATCTAAGCAATAAAAAAAAAAAATTATTATACTATTTTTTATTTTTTATTTCACTAGACTGGACGTGCATGCACCCATCTCTTGCTAAGTGGTTACGGTAGCTGACAGACATGGTGTTGCTAGCCGCTATTCAACTAAACATAAGGTATACGGTCAAATTGGGCTGAATGTCTGATTCTTTGTAAAAATATACAGGACAGTACTAATTACGGACTTATCTATTTATTAATCTGTGATGCGGTACCCGACTTAGAATTGGATCGACCCATAACATCCCGGGAGTATCGTAAAATGCGGCTAAGGCACTTCTTCTGGCTAACATTATGCCAACGGTAACCTCAGGCAGGATTGACGTCAGGCAGACGGCCAGTCGTAAAAGTAATGCCCTATCCCTTTGCAGCTTTGATTAGTAAATATGCCGCGCCCAATTCCACATAACGTGGGATAAAGGCAATAGCAGTAATAACTCAAATTTATAAAATTTACGGATTTATTTTTAATTCCACGTTATTAGTTTCTCATTTTATTAATTCATCGTGGAAGTCATTCGTGAACACATGCTTGTACACATATTTGATACGTATTTCCTCAGGAAAATTGGTAGCTGCCTGAGGGATTTTAACACCTATATTGCCGTAACGCTTGATGTGAGTACACCGGGCGTATTATCCTTTGGACCGCCACAACATCACATCTACCGACCGCCATAAACTATGTCAACCAGTTATGACCTTTTTTTTTTTTTTTTTTTTTTTTTTTTTTTNGGTAGGGGGGCACTCCGTGTCGTTCCAGCGCCCCCCCTATCACGGACCAGGGCAGGGTGTTGAACGCATTGGCGATATCGAGTGACACCGCCAAAGCCACCCCACCCCCGGAGACGGCCTCATCCGAGAGGGCCCGCACGCGAAGGATCGCGTCTACCGTTGAGCGGCCCTCTCGGAAGCCATACTGCTCCGCCGACAGATCGGGTCCTACCCTGACCAGATGCTGGATGATGCGGGCCGCCAGAAGTTATGACCTACCTTCATTTCTAAAAGTGTCCATTTCTTCAATGCCATAATTTGTTACTATTAATATTTCAAAATATGTGTAATGAAAAAAATGTATTATAATATTGGACTTTTGCTACATCTTTTAATATTCATTTACTCAATTTGGATTGTGCTTTCTTCACAATTCTAAAATGATTAAGAGATACTCTTATTAACTTACGATTAATACCTATTTGCTCGTAATATATAATATGAATAGAGAAACAAGAGTGAGCAAGCAGACTTTGGAAAAATATGGATTTCAAATAGTAATTTTTTTATAATATAAATAGGTACATTAAAACAGCGAAAGACAAAAAAACAGTTTGGTATATTTTTCTTCTGTGCGTTTGTCTAGTGAATATTTTGTTTATTAATGTTTGGAGGGCATTAGTCTTAATAAGAATATAATTCAGGAAACAGTTCTTTCTCCACGTTTACAAGAGTGTCAAAAACAAAACAAAATCTACAATACTTACATATTAAATGAATCGAAATCTTGAGATTTCACGGATTAATTCTCGAATTTTAACCAGTGGGCAAAGACTGTTACAACTTCGTTACAAACATAATCTCATTTCACCATAGTACGTATAAGGAAAAAAAAAATTAGGCATAGGGAAATTGTAAATAATGTTTCCGAATTTGCCGATTTACTAACGGCGATATTAAAATTATTTAATTACAAATCACGCATCACACACAACAATCTTTCACAAAACTCACCGATCGTAAAGATGTAGCAGGACCTGTCTCACGAATGCACTCGATCCCGATATTATCCACGAAACTACATACACGATCTTATTCTATCGAGAAAATACTTTAAAAAAAACAGAAAACAGTAAGTAAGACCTTTAACGACCCGCTAAAAACTTACTGATATTTATCTAGTCTTTATCCTGCAACTACAGGTATTTAAATACACGAGTGTTTACGTAAAGTTTTTGACGTTTTAACTTGTGAGGGGACAGAGCGACGCGCGAAGCGTACGGCCCCTAACCGAGCCAACGCGAGACTATCTCGATTCTCGAATAGAACTCATGATCCTCGAAAGCTTTCGAGCCGCGCCAGAGGAGATACCCGTCCCGCTCGCGCAGTCGGTCACCTGCTGATAAAAAATAAGAGAAGAGAAGCCTAACATTTCGCCGAAACGTGAATCGAGTCGTATTTTATAAACATTCAGCCAGGTATGCGACTACCTCACCGCGCACGATCATAGTTAGGGCGGCGTTCTTTACCCAAATAAACGAATAGATATTCTGAACTCATTCACACGCTACAAGAATGGTGTTCGCATGCCGCAAACAGTAATTTAGATGAATTATCTACCATTGGAAATCTTTTAAATTGCAGTGCTGCGCCGATAAGAGCGATCCACGGCGATACCTAACCGTGTCGAAGTAACTACACGCATCCGATGATAATGAACCAAATAAACAAGGAGTGTTTTAGCGGTTCACGTGTAATCACCGATACAAACTTGTGCCTTGGTTCCCAATGTTCGATTCAATTACCAGTTGTTTTCTCGACTTATCTTCAGTAAGACGTCCTATATCAATATTTGTGGATACAAACACGAGGGAAACCTGCACGGTGGTGCATTGTTTACTCAGATAACTTCCTTTACAAACAAGCCCTAAATTTCACTTACATAAGTTACGCACACACGACCGCCGTGTAAAATACTCGCATTAATTGCGACTACACAAATTACATCGAACATTCGGGTCTAATTCAAACAATCAAGCAATTCAGGTCGGTGGTTATTTAGCAAATACGAAAATAAAGTCGATGCTTGTTTTATTTTAACAATGTTTACATCATAATATAAAATATCCCATTAATTTGCAGAAAAATGAGCATGACTGCATGCGGCAGAGATGCGAATGTCATCATGAACATCCATCTCAATGTGTGGCGTGACAAGAATGGATAAGATAAAGAATGAGTATATCAGAGGAAGTGTGAAAGTGGCCCCGGTAAACAACAAATTAAGGAGCGGACGGTTAGCGTGGTATGGACATGTGATGCGTAAAGAGAAGATGCATGTGACTAGGAGATGTATGGAAATGGTAGTGCAAGGTAGAGGGGGAAGAGGTCGACCGAAGAAGACATGGATGGAGTGTGTGAATGACGATATGAGAGAGAAAGGAGTGAGTGTTGAGATGACGGCTGATAGAAGAGAATGGAAGAGAAAAATTAGCTGTGCCGACCCCACCTAGTGGGATAAGGTGGAGAAAAAGAAGAAGAATTTGCAGAAAAATATACTCTTTTTTACTCTGTTTTAAAGTACCTAATTTAAACAGGTACAGTTGGAATTTTAAATTATATTTTTGTAGTTATACTTCACACGATAGATAGATCCTTCCATATTGTACACTTAACGTTTTAATTTAGTAAATTAACCTTTAGCGACACATGATACATTACAAACAGGATTAATTTGATTTATGTAGATACAACATGACTATTCGCTAAAGAAGTAAGTGCATGGATAATAATGTGACAATTAAGCTTAATTAATTATCATCAACTCTGCCAATGCCACTCCCAAGCCCGAATGAGGAAAGAGGAGGGTTGAGTTGGAGTTCGACCTTTCCACCATAAAACAGCCGAAGAACAACGCCAAATGTCTGGCGGCGGTTAATTAGCCGGACCCAAGTAAGGCTACAGCGGCCTTGAAGAACTAAATCACTTCCAAAAGCACTGCCGTGGAAGGACGAGGGGCCCCACCATGTGTATTTTCCCAAGAAAGCCTCTTTGAGGCCACGACGCTCAGCATTGAGGATTGTCGATGCAAGGAGGAGGAGTAAGAATTATCATCATCTCCATGTTTTTTCAACTGATTTAGTCGTCTTGTTTCTTCCGTTACATTACAAAATTCATTAATCCAATTGAAGATCATATGCTAATTACAAGAACGCATTTTTAGTGAAGTTGGCATTGGTTAGTTAATTAAAATATCCGATTAAATAAAATGAATAAGAAATAGACTGCGATCAGAATTCAGCGCTCCGGAGCTTAAAAAAGCTTACAGGATACTTTTGAATCCTATTAAACGAGTTCTAGACTACATTTCTTCGTGGACTTGGACGATAAATTCAATGCAGCACCTTAACGGGAACTCGGTCTTGAGCGACGGACAAAAGGACGAGTTTTTCCTTGAAGAATGACCGCAGTTATTTTTCGAACGAGCAGGGCTACCAACTATACAACCAATTGTACAGAGTTGAATTCGGAATTGATTCAATATTACCGTGTCAGTCAAATTTCGCTTCTATTTCAAAAGAAATCAAATAGATATTAATTTGACTAACACAAATAGACTTTTGACTAACACAAATAGACATTTTGAAAAAGAGATATTTTGGCTTTGATTTTAGTTAAGTTTTTATTATTAATAACGATAGTAGCTGTTACCGTACTGCTTACTAAAAGATCCTTACTAATAACGCCTTTTGTGTTACAATAATTATTTAATTTTATTTAATACCCACTGGTCACGCGCGGATTTAGTAATGGGATGCTAATGAATTATTGGGATGGCGCCACCTTTGGAGTTTGTCAGTAACTAATTACCGCGACTATCCAAAGCGGGGCTCTACCCGATCGATCACGCTTTACCGCTAGCTGCCTAGATGGCGGCACTTGTATATTGTGTGGTGCTTGTGCTTACGAAAAGCTACGTGAGCTTCGTCACCCCCTCCCGCCGCCCGCGTGCTTCCATCGCCGACGCCCGCACAACAGTCACTGGCAAGGTCTACAGGTGAGTGCAAGTTCTTTTAATTTATTGCCATTTTATTGCTGTTTCCGTGTAATCATTCGCCCGCCCGCTCGCTTATGTGTATTTAATTTATATCTTTAGTTTGATTACTAGCTTTGGTTTACCGCTATATAGTTTTACCGCTCCGCTAATTATAAGTGACAAACATTTGTCACATACCGCTTAGGACGGCTATTTACACGCCTTTCTACAACCCCGCTTTATATGCTCCCGCCGCAGGAGGGCTATTTACACGCCCCCTTGCTACCCCACCCACCTTGTTAAATGTCTGGACAAAAAATCCGATAATAATCATGATGCAAACTAGGTCGTTAGTATTTTTTATTTATTTGAATTATACCTTTCATATTGGAAAACATTTGAGGAAGTAAGTAATCAGTATTTTTCCAGCTTACTTCACTTTTATTTTTGAATCCATTCCATTATATTGCTTTCTTAAAGTAAACAAAGCAAGCAAAGCATTGAATAAAATTATAGAAACGATAGGTACATTCGTCAAAAGCAACCAAAAAAAAAATATTGACAGCCCTGCTATGATGATGTGATATTATTGTTCATTGGAAATCAGTTACGATATCCTTCTGCGTTGTAAGGACGTGACAAGATCCATACCCGTGAGGTTTGTTAACTGCCGCCAAATAAAAATGTTTATGCCGCTCGATGTATAATCACTTGCTTACCAAAATACAAAATACAATTTCAAATGGCTTTAAAAAACCTTAAAGATTAGAGGCATAAGGTTGGATATCCAATGCCACCACATCATAAAGCCGAAGTCTTAATTGTGCTTTGTAAAACAGCTGTTCAAACGGTGCTTTGCGGAAAAAATAGGTAAGATATTGTACCTACCGGTTCGGGAATACGACACGCCCTGCAACTTGTAAATACGCATACGTATAAGTTGTCCAGGATTACAATTTATTCCAGGTGCTATTCCTTGGGTAGGCCCAAGAAATGCTGGTTGGATGTTGTAAAGACGGATATGGAGGAGAATAACCTCACCCAGAAGGATGCCGAAAACCGGGCCAAGTGGAGAGAGATTAAGTAGGAAAGCGGACCCTGGCACTAGATCGGGAAAACGCTAGGAAAAAGAAGAAGAAGACACGATGCTACTCTTTCAATTTCAAAAAATACAGAAAAACAAATAAATTGTGATATTTTTATTTTCTTGATATTTGAAAATCTAAATTTTAGTGCAAATATTTATAATAATTAAATGTAAATTATAAAACCAAAAACGGAAAAATTAGAAGAAACACCAAAAGAAACAGAAAAAGTGCCTCACTATGGCACTATGCAATACTGGAATATTTCCCCTGCTTATTCGCTGGTAGCCTAAAAGGCTATTCCAGCTACGCCGGGAGAAGTCAGTGAGCTCACGAGCTTAACCTGAGAGAATTTGCTAAGACTAGCTTTTGCTAGGGCAAAAGCAATGCTTCGCAGAATCTACCACCGGATTGGAATCGCGACCCACTGAGAAGATCCGGCGAGACACTCAGTGGGCTATGTCTGTGGGTTAGTTCACTCGTCGAACTCGTCGATCACGACGAAGAGTGCGGTGGCCGGTGCTTGAGGGTCTTAAAAGCACCGAGAGTGAATCCGGAAGATCCGACAATACAAGTTTCGGGCGACGGCGGCTTTGCGTTGACCCGTTGCGGTCGGGTAAGTAGTCAGCAGAGGCCACGATAAGAAGGTTTTCATGTTTTTTTTTTTTTTTTTATTGCTTAGATGGATGGACGAGCTCACAGCCCACCTGGTGTTAAGTGGTTACCGGAGCCCATAGACATCTACAACGTAAATGCGCCACCCACCTCGAGATATAAGTTCTAAGGTCTCAGTATAGTTACAACGGCTACCCCACCCTTCAAACCGAAACGCATTACTGCTTCACGGCGGAAATAGGCGGGGTGGTGGTACCTACCCGTGCGGACTCCCAAGAGGTCCTACCACCAGTAATTACGCAAATTATAATTTTGCGGGTTTCATTTTTATTACACGATGTTATTCCTTATGTCGCGCCGCTTTGTCGAAGTAGCGTTCTGACGCTTCCTTAAGATACTTACATATCAGTACTAAATTTAGGTCGCTGTGAAGATCGACATACTACGGTGCTCCGACGGCTATCCTGCAGAAACGGGATTACATGACCTAGAGAGAGTCAATGTGTGTACGGGCCGCGTGAGTGAACACTACACTTGCATAGGTCATGACAGAACCTATGCAAATTTTGTAGTGTCACCTTGTTATGAAGGGAAAATTTACTTTGCAGGGTTGACGTGTTATGCGTGGCGATGTGACCTTCGCGACAGGGGGGAACCACGTCCCGGAGAAGGAGCGATTAGAGCGCGGAGGCTCCAATCTCGGCGGTCTGTGCTGGAGGCGTGGTCTCGCCGCTTGGCGAACCCGTCAGCCGGTCTCCGGACCGTCGAGGCGGTGCGCCCGGTCCTCGCGGAATGGGCGAACCGTGACCAAGGGCGTCTCACCTTCCGGTTGACGCAGATGCTTACCGGCCATGGGTGTTTTGGCCGGTACCTGCATCGCATCGCCCGGAGGGAACCGACGATGGAGTGTCACCACTGTGACTGCGACGAGGACACGGTCGAGCATACGCTCGCATATTGCCCCGCATGGCTGGAGCAACGCCGTGTCCTTGTCTCGCAAATAGGACCGGACTTATCGCTGCCGACCGTCGTGGCCACGATGCTCGGCAGCGATGAGTCCTGGAAGGCGATGCTCGACTTCTGCGAGTACACCATCTCGCAGAAGGAGGCGGCGGAACGAGAGAGGGAGAGCTCATCCCTCTCCGCACCTATCCGTCGCCGCCGAGCCGGGGGCCGGAGAAGGGCCTTTGCCCGACTCCGGCCCCTGTAGATGGCGGCTTCCCCCCGGTGAAGGTCAAGGGGCGACCTGAGGGGGAGAGGCCGCGCGGCGCGCTACCAGCACTCTAGCGCGCTGCCAAGGAGTTACGAAAGAGCGACCGGTTGGCAGTGTATCGCGTCCCGACCCGGCAGGCTGGTTCTGGTCCAGCGGGGTATTCCGGGGCACCAGCGGCACTGTCTGGGCGGCCTGACGGGCTGCCGTACCGAGACGGCCGACGTTTCAGAGCCTTCGATTCGCCTCGAAGGCTCCGTCGGCTGGGCGTCCTTGGGGTGAGCCGCGCCGTCTGGTTGTAGTGTTGACCGCGGTAACCCCCCTACCTCATCCGGGTTCTGACCTCGGAGAGGATCGGACGTCGGGTGTAAGAGTGCAGGGGAGTCGTTTAGTGGGTGGGTCCTAAAATCCTTGGGCCCGCGATCTGCCCTCAACACCTGCAGATCGTTGAGTCTCACATACCCCGCGCGCCCCGTATGCGCGGGGACCTCGTAGGAGGTTCGGCCCCCGGCCCGAAAAAAAAAAAAAAAAAAAAGGGTTGACGTGTTGCAGGCGGCCAGCAAATCCCTAGGCAGTATAATAAGATATCATGCTGCGCCGATCCCACATAATGCGGCATAAATGCTATGCTTTATATACCTTTAAAGAATACAAATACGTGTTAAATATATAATTTCATTGAATAAATGGTACCTATCTTCAGAATTTGTCTATCAACATAATCGTATCACTTAATAAAAGTCTTAAGCTTAAGGCTACGACGACTTCATCTTAGTAGTACATTTTTAATTCGACTTTGGAAAGGTTACCTTAAAGCCTACGAGCTATCAAACACAGCGCTTTATAGCCCATTATCAACAATTACCTCGCTAGTTATAATCGATTGGATATTAACTGTGTACTTAAAGTGGTGTGGAGATCTATATACAGCAATATGACTGCTAATATGATAATTATTTTATTGGACCAGATGGAACGAGTTCACGACCTACCTGATTTGCATTTTCTTATCTTCAATTAATATTTTGTTCGAGTGTTTCTCGTACGTTGTTGTTGGACCTTAATTATTTATTTTCGATGAAGAGATTTCTAAAGGTCCAGAAGAAGCCTTTCCAGATTCGCAAGGACGGCTACGCGAAAAATCCCAGCCATATTAATGATAGTCAACTTGAAACGTAGTCATAAGACACTAGTAATTAATATTTGCCTTTTTTATTCTTATTCGGGCCGGGGGTCGAACCTCTAAGTATGTGGGACTTGACAATCTGCAGATGTTGGGAGCAGACCGCCGGCCCAAGGATGTTTTAAGGCCCTACCGCACTAAACGACTCTCCTGCACTCTTACACCCGACGTCCGATCTTCATCCGGGGTCAAAACCCGGTCAGAGTAGGGGGTTCCTGCGGTCAACACTACAACCAGACTCGCGGCGCCACCCTGAGGACGCCCGACCGACGTGTCGTCGAGGCGATAGTTGACGGCCAACGACGCCGGTCTCCGCGGTACGGCGCCCTACCAGGCCGCCCGGGCGATGCCGCTGGTGTTCCGGGATACCCCGCTGGGTAAGAACTAGCCTGCCGGGTCAGAACGCGATACACAATACACCACCGACCGGGTTGCTCTTCCACAGTATGTTCCGTGACGATAACGAAGACGGCATTGCGGACCGCATAGCAGACTGCTGCTGGCGACGCGCCCGTCCCCCTGGTGCCAGCGCGCTAGAGTCACGGTAGCGTGCGGCGCAGCCTCAACCCCCTCAAGTCACCCCATGACCATCACCGGGAGGAGGCTGCCTCCACCCGGGGGCCAAAGCTGGACGAACGCCCTTCTCCGACCCTTGGCTTGGCGGCGGCGACACGGCGCCGAAAGGAAAGAAGAGCTCTCCCTCTCCCGTTCCGCCGCCTCCGTCTGCGAGATCGATGACTCGCAGAACTCGAGCATCGCCTGAATTAATATTTGCCTGCTCTAAGATTGCGTTGGTGACGTCATATGTACCTACGCCGTACACCTCGTCATAGATACACATGTAAATACTTTTTTCACTATTAAGTCTATTGATTAATTACTGACAAACATCACACTTCAACGTCAATGTTTATAAATCTAGTGTCAAAACAGATAATGTTTACTAAGATTTTCGAATTTGTTGAATACAAAAAATAATTTTGAAGTTTGTTTTTTAATTTAATACAATTTTCTGATATCAATTTTAAATACGAATTTATCAAACAAAATGACAGGTAAAATAATATTGAGAACTAGATTAAACCACTACGGACCAATCTCGTGTTTGTTTGAAGTTCTTATTTCATTTCTTCATAATACGCTGCATTTGAGTATATAGGTCGTTATCGTAGTCACGAATAATTATTTAATAATTTGTCCAATTTTAATAACTTGAGAAAATGTCAAATATAGATAATTTGTACATTAACAAGAATGTACAAAAATCAATTTTAAAATGTTCTTGTCCTCAGCTGAAGATACAAGCGTTCTTCTCAATATCGGTGAGATGATAGATTTAGCAATTGGCACTCCAGAGGTATTGAACTTTATCATCGTACATATTAATTCGGCTTATGGTTTAGATTTATTCTACTTGTCCCCTACTTTAATAGTTAAGTCCAGTTGTACAGTAACTACCAATAATTTATTTGTAAATTTTCTTGATTGCAACTAAACTTCTGACACTTTCTTTCATTTTGTTTTAATACATAAGTTTTTTGGGACAATATTATTTTTTGACAGCAGGAAAGACTCTTAATAAATTAGGGATGTGACACAATATTATTGACGCTGTTGCATTTTTTCTCATCATACTGTGCCCGCCATTTCGCACCGCCGTCATATAATATTTATCATCTTTAGATAAATACATGTTTAGTTTTGATATTGGTATTATCAACCGAATCATATTAAATGAACACAAAAATTTAAACCAGCTTAAGTGAATTTAACATTGAAAACACATCTAAATTTCTTCAGCCATGACTGTGGAAATTAGCATCCATCAACGCTCAGGCAACAGACAGACATTTTACAGTTTTATTATAGTTCAATAGGCGGGCACAACTAATCGATCGACGATTTTATAGCTAAATATTGGCAGATCGTTTCTATGTTCATCTCCGTAATGTAATCATATCATAATTATATAAAACTGCTTTTACCGTGTTAGTCGCCCGTGATCAAACCCGTAAAGTATTCGAAGCATCGGAAAGGATGTAATGGCATTAAAAACGAAACATTAAATAGTAAAAATCTATATATTAATACGTGAAGCAAAAACTTTGTATCCCTTTTTACGAAAATTGCGCGGACGGAGGAGTATGAAATTTACCACACTTATACAGAATATAGAGAAGGAGTGCAGAATGTTATTTTTTTTTAAATTGCGCATAAAAATACATTAAATCAATTAAAAAAACATTACACACACACTACCATGTATTTGACACACACACTTAAACTCTTTGTTAATGGTCAAACTTTTGTGATTGCTTAAATTGTGTAGTCAAATTGAGAATAGGTTAATTAATATTGTTTATCTTTAATATTACGAGTATTGGTCTATAGTGTAGTCTTGGCGAAATCTGTGACTATAGAAATATAATAAATAGTCTTTGTCAATAGAACCATAATAATGACTTATAATTTCAATTAATTATAGTCGAACTTCAACTACTGGTGTACCACTAGTAATTATAATTACGCCCATGACTTGCGAAAATGGTAATCATATTTATTTCGTTTAAGTCTTTCTCGTTGATGGCTCAATGTATATTGATGCTTCAGTTTTCCGCTTACGAAGTTAATTCTAATAGCTACGCCGGCGATAAATCATTTGTGAGCCCGTGAAGCTGACACGCGTTCGGGTTTAAAAGGTAGGACAGCCGTTTTACAATAAAATTGAAATTTCGACCTTATATCTCAAGGTAGGTTGCATTCGCGTTGTGTTATCTATGGGCTCTGGTAACTTAAGATACCACGTGGGCCGTTAGCAATTTCAGTTTCCGTTAGCTAATAGAATAAAAATGTTTATACTCTTTGCACTTCCTGAAGGTCGGAGTTGTAGACTTCAATATGCTCCAAACGGTCCTGCACTGCCTGGCGCAGCAGCTACGTGTCCTGGGTAAAAACGTAGAGCTGAAAGGCAGTATCACTTTGCCAATAGGCAGAGATAACACACAAACCATTGCGATCAGCGAATATGTGGTCGATACTGAAGACAAAGATAAGGTAATAAAGATAATTCTAGAGTTCGCTAATAATTTTTTCCACGTCCCACAACCCCAAGCTATGATGTTATTCTTGTTAGAGGTATCGAAAACAAATGCATTTACAAGAACAAGTACATTCAGTCCCCGAACGCCAAATATCTTTAACAAACTGCCCTTCCGCCAATATATTATTATCATATATTATCAGATACTACATCAAGTACTATATCAAAACAGGAACCCTAGCCAGTATCAAACGAGGCAATTCGTCGTAAGAATTCAGGAAAGTAATTTACTAAACAAAACGAGCGTACACCTGTAATTCCAAATTGAGTATACTAAAAATGTTTTTAACAATAAAAATGCTTTCCTTTTCAGACGGCACCATTAAAACCTGAAATAGGTAAGTTCTGGGATTTATTTTTAATTTACCTATATTATTTTCAGGATATTCTTTGCTTATGTAAATAAAAAAATATGCTCTGAAGCAGACGATATATACGAGTATGTATGTATACCGGTAAGCCACCTGTACGATATTTAACGAGATTTTGGTTTAAAATTATTATTAAATATTTAGAAAATTACATTAGACACCATGAAAACACAATATGGTATATGGGAATTAACGAAATTTTACCGCTTTTTTTTAAATGTAGTAGGTATAATACTACATAAAAAAATAACTTTTTTCGTTACTATGATTAATGTGTATTAAAACACTTTTTGTACGTAAACTCAATAATTTTATATCAAATGCTGTGCGGTTTCCTGCAGGTATCGGTCAGTTATTATCAGATTAAAGCGTAAACGCGTTATGATCACGTAACCCATGAACCTGCCATTACATTTCTTGTTTAGCGTATTTGATTTTTTTAATTTCTAAAATTCAATGCCATGGCCAAGATGACTGTGTATTTAATTAAAGGTCATGTTCTTTTGAAACACTGGTTGGAGAATATATCGAGATATATTGGAACTAAAAATCTGATGTTCAACTAATGATAGGATTAGGAAGAACTATTCCTAACCTAAAGGAAAAGGGTTCATATAATAACGTAACAATGTCTCGGATTCCTGGCGTATTTATTAAAGACTAGCTGACCCGGCAGACTTCGTAGTGCCTCAATCAATAAATAAATCACCTAAACTTTTGTATAAAATAAACTTAAATCAAACAAAAGGAATCCGTCCGACGGAGGACACATCAAAGGGAAAACAAAATTGTTATTTTTATTTAATTCCGAGCGTTTTCATATTTATCTACCTTTTAAACCTTCTCTGGACTTCCACAAATAATTCAAGACCAAAATTAGCCAAATCGGTCCAGCCGTTCTCGAGTTTTAGCGAGACTAACGAACAGCAATTCATTTTTATATAATGTATAGATGAGACTGAATACTCTACTACTCAATACTACTTACTACTACTCAATGAATAAAACGTTAGATGCATTAGGTCGAATTAAGAATTGTATTTTTACTATTGAAAGTACGGTTACATAAATTACGTCTAGTTAATTATATCGTCCCCGTGTTTTTTCAGAGGTGTCACCAGTTACTTCAGAACCTGATACAATTTTAGTCGGTAAGTTATTATTATACATAAATATATTTTTCCGTTTTCTTTCTTATTGTATTAAATAATAACGATTTTTTTTTTCCTCACAGTTGAAAGAATCAAGAAAAGCTTGTCGCCCTGTAAGTACTTTAATATTATCTGAAATGAATATCCATAGTTATTCGCGTTTAAGCGTTTTTCATCCGGTTGAGTTTATTTTATTATTCCTAAAATGGGTTGACGAACTCACGACCTACCTAGTGGTAAATGCCGCCACTTTGAAACGGCTTGAGTTTTAAGTCTCAGTTTTTCCCACCGTTCAAGCCGAAACGCATTACTGCTTCACTGCAGAAATAGGCAGGATGATGATACTTACCCGTGCGGATTTGTTTAAGATTATCCCGTCATTGGGAGGTTCGTTCATACTACCTAGAAGCACTGCACTCATCCTTAGTACTTTTCCAAAGCTTTTTTTGCCACGCTTTTTTTTTCCTACCTAAGCTGATAGCCTTGAGAGGCTATTTCAGCGGAACCTTAACTAGTAGGTGAGCTCACGGGGCTCAAACCTGAGGACGTTGCTAACACGAACCCTAGCAAGAGCCGTGCTTCGCAGAATCTACCACCGGATCGGAAACGCGACCCACTGAGAAGATCCGGCGAGAAACTCAGTGGGCTGTGTCTGAGGGTTAACTTACTCGTCGAGCCCTTCGTCGCAAGCGACGGGTTCGACGAGAACGGTGACTGGTGCTTGAGGTACCTATAAGCATCGTTAGTGGATCGGGAGGATCCGAAATGACGTGTTTGGGGCGACTTCGACTGCTTTCCATTCTGGGACTGCGTGCCATCTCTGCAACGCTTTTATAGTCGATACGGCATCCCTAGATTTATCGAGTACATTCTGGGCAAGTCGAGTAGCTTCGAGTTATCTGACAATAGATGGCGTTGTATTTCTCGATTTTACTAGTACCTTCGATATTCGTTCAGCCCTTCGGCGACCGCTGGCGTTACTCTTACCGGCGTTACAATATTAAAGCAATTATTAAATATATATTTTTTGGTGTTGAATTTAGTACTAACATACTTAATTTTTTCATTTTTTCATATCCGAAGTGCGTAGTCCTACACGCGAACACTCACCAGTACCGATTCAGACTCGCGGAGCAGCTTCCCCAACTCCTCAAGAGAAACTGTCGCTCGTGACACTAAGCAAATTCAACACGCTCGAATCCACTGTGGAGGACTTGAAAAACCGTGTCTACGGAAGCATGCCTAAAAACGAAGCCATTTTGGAAGAAGTAAGGTTTGTGTTTTTGAACTAGTTTATCCATAATTAAAACTACTTTTACGCGATATAATATCGCGTTTTTTATTGTTATTAAAGTATGTATGTTTCGAATATTTTACAAATAGTTAGCATAATATTCAGGGGTCAACGAATAGCACCTCAATCGCCGTACCCACGAAAACTGTAGAAGTAGGTACGTGGAAAGGTCGGAAATAATATAATGACAATAAAAAATATGGGATTAAAGCGTAAAAGTATTTTCTAATTATATCCACCACTCGCGAAATGCATAGAAAATAGTTTATGCTTTTTTTTTTATTGTCCGTGTAGGCAGACTAGGATACGACCCGCCTGGTGGTAGTGGTTACCGTCGCCCATGGACTTCAGCAAGCCAGGGCCAGAGCCAAGCCGCTGCCTACCGATAGCATATATACCTACCCATGCACCTTCGTTTAATTTTTTTTTCCTGTATATCTTTCAACAGTGTCACTATCACATTAACAGATATACCGCGTCTTATCTTTCACATTGACAGTCAACTTCAAATACATCCTGACAAGACAAAGTATGAGCAGGGTTTATACGCTTTTACCACCTTCAGACGTATGTATGTTTGTAACGGAATCTTTGAACATGTTTTTGACCTCCGTCAAAACGTCGGATTAACTCGAAATTTGCTATACTTATTAACCGATGACAATTCAATTTAAAAAAAATATATTGAAAAAATTGAAATTTAACTAAAAAATGAAAAAGAAATAATAGTTTAAAAAAACAAACTATTTTCAATTTTTTACTTGGATTTTCTATAAAAGCGTATTTTATTAGTTTTTTTTAAACTATTGCCTATATTTGAACCGCCTTCATCAAACACGTGTTTCAAATTTAAATCGAATAGTCAAATTAATTGAAACGTGTTAATTGTCTCAGATCACAAACGAACTTAAAAGCGATCACGGACATGTGGACGTCTCTGAACGTGTCGTCTCGACTGGAGGCGGCCGAGGCTGGGATTTCCAAATTAAGTTCTCTGGTACAGGATGTTATTTCGGAAACAACAACTTTGCAAGATGCCCTGAAAGGCAGCGATCTTCAGGCGTTAGTGCGAAATGTGTTTTTTTCTTTTCCTTGAACTCTTTTTTTTTTTATTGCTTAGATGAGTGGCCGAGCTCACAGCCCACCTGGTGTTAAGCGGTTACTGGAGCTCATAGACATCTACGACGTAAATGCGCCACCCACCTTGAGATATAAGTTCTAAGGTCTCAGTATAGTTACAACGGCTACCCACCCACCCTTCAAACCGAAACGCATTACTGCTTCACGGCAGAAATAGGCGGGGCGGTGGTACCTACCCGTGCGGACTCACAAGAGGTCCTACCACCAGTAATTACGCAAATTATAATTTTGCGGGTTTGATTTTTATTACACGATGTTATTCCTTCACCGTGGAAGTCAATCGTGAACATTTGTTAAGTACGTATTTCATTAGAAAAAATGGTACCCGCTTGCGGGATTCGAACACCGGTGCATCGCTCGATCCGAAACATAACGTACGATAGCAAACGTAGTTGTAGTCCACAATTTGTATTAAGCGCAATGGGATTAGACTTTGTTTTTATTTTTATTTGCGATATAATTTGAAGGGTGGGGCAGCCGTTGTAACTATACTTGAGACCTTAGAACTTATATCTCAAGGTGGGTAGCGCATTTACGTCGTACAGGTCTATGGGCTCCAGTAACCACTTAACAACAGGTGGGCAGTGAGCTCGTCCACCCATCTAAGCAATAAAAAAAAAGTACCTATAAGTAGTAAACAGAAACTGTTTATCTGCAGATACAGCCATAGCTGTATTTCGTTCACCTTCACGCAACGTAGTATCTACATTAATACCTAACTTTTCTATTCAACCCAGCTCGTAAAGTGCACCGAATTTACGACATCCTAGTACTTAATCATTAATCATCCCGAAGTACCGGACGCCTATTCTTCTAATGCCACTGAAGTTTTAGTTTAATGCGCAATTGTCTGGGCACTCCGAAAACCAAACCATGTTTTTTTTTAATTAGGCTAGATTCTGTGACACCTGGAGCCGCGTTGACTGACCTCGCCACGATACCCACGAAGGATGAATTTTCAGCAGTACAAACCCAATTGCATAATTTGCAAGCCAACGTTGATCAACTCACCAACTCCTTTAATGGCGCCATGTCTGAATTACTTCCTGGCTTCGGTGAGACGTTTATTTTTAAATTTAGTCCAATAGAAAAACTTGTTTGAGATAGATAGATTTCGAAATTGCAATATGTCTGGATAAAAAGTTTTTGTACTAACTAGGCAATTAAATTACGTTTTTAAAATTGCGCACGCAGTCGATTACTAAAGTTTAGAAAAACGAGACTGAGTAGGTATTTCATCCCAGTAAAGAAATATTTCTAGCGTTTCTTTCGTACATTTTTTTTTATTGCCTTTGTAGGCAGACGAGCATACGGCCCACCTGATGATAAGTGGTCACCGTCGCTCATGGACGTCAGCAATGCCAGGGGCAGAGCCAAGCCGCTGCCTACCATAACCATACATAGATATTATATCACGAAATGGACATTAAAAATAAACGTATTATTAAATGTGCAAATTCCTAAGATCAATCAGCAGGTGTAAATGTTCTGACTTGTACGTGCATACGTATGTATGTAAGAATTGTCGAAATATTTTTTGTTAAAAATTATCGTTAAGAGATTCAGGTTTAGCCGGATTACTTTTATTCAGTCAAAGATAACGCTACGAAAGTATTAGATATGCCATACTTGCAGAAATGCATTTACGCCTAGGCATGTGAGGCTCGGGACTAGGGCGGCATGATATAAGGGGCGACAAAATTTGTAAAATGCCAAAATTTCAGAGACGATAGAAAGTAAAGACAGCCTCCTTTCAAAATAGGTTCAGATAAAAAAAAAAAAAAAATTATAGTTATTCTAAATAAAATAAAAAAATTGGATCAAAATTAATAACATTTATTCTAAAATTAAGGGTGGCGCGATAAACAGGGCCTAGGGCGGCATCAAGCCTAAATCTCTCACTGCATACTTGTATGGTCGAGTATCTCGTATGTCGTATCACTCTTATCAGAGCGGTCGTGGTCGTCATCCAGTATCATTGGTGTGGGCAGATGTTATGTGCCTCAAGAGCAATCACCACTCCTCGCGGTTTGTGGTGAGCCTGGTACACTCATGCAAACAGCCGCCAACTGCCGACTTGATTTGGTCGATCCATCGCATGGGTAACCTTTCAACAAGCGCGAGTAGTAACAAATAAAAATTCCATTATTTAACACCTCAGTGGTTTCTCTTTACACTACCAAGTGAAGATACATTTTTCTCTGCGGTTATGTTATTTTTTATGTACGAGTTAATTGTGTTTCAGCTAGTTCTCTTCCTGGTCAACTCGCTTCAGAACAAACACAAGATTCGAGTTCGACACCAGGTAAAGAGCATTGAGTGCATTCGAGATAAGGTTCTCCAACAGATTTTTAATTATTAAAAATGACCAAAATTCTACATGTTGTTAGTTAATAAAATCGTTAATTAGATAGTTAAAATAGGTAAAAATAGTTAATTAAATCAATAAGGTTAAATGTTGTATAATAAAAATAAATTGATAAAGGCGAGATTTTAAACCTTTAATATAGTTTTGAGTCTACTACGATTTGCGAAAGTCGAAGAAAATACTGAAACTTATACGTTCAAGGTGCCGATCACCGCCATTCGACTACTTCTCGATCATTACCTACGGCTGACAAATTGACCGACATTCTGACAAAACGAATTAACGAATTAGAGAAAAAACTCAAGGAATGTTGCGACATTGCCAATAAAAATGATGATCTTATGCAAAATCAAGTGAGTACTGTATTACAAAGTTACAAAGTATTTCACTGCTATAAAAAATAAAGTATAAAGTAAAATGCAAAGTATTTAACTCAAGGATGAGACCGTTTAAAGCTTAAGCCCTCGCTTTGCGTAATTACTGGTGGTAGGACCTCTTGTGAGTCCGCGCGGGCGGGTACCACCACCCTGCCTTTTCTGCCGTGAAGCATTAATGCGTTTCGGTTTGAAGGGTGGGGCAGCAGTTGTAACTTATTTGAGACCTTAGAACTTCTATCTCAAGGTGGGTGGCGCATTTACGTTGTGGATGTCTATGGGCTCCAGTAACCACTTAACACCAGGTGGGCTGTGAGCTCGTCCACCCACATAAGCAATAAAAAAAAAAAAAAAAGTACTTCGCTTTTATACTAATTTTCTACATATAATTAGTTAAACACTTCAGTTTTTTTCGATTTATTATAACACGCTAAACTTCTAGAATAAACATTACTTCCTTCTCACGCATTTAGATAAATTATATGCAAGATCAACTCGAGTACATAAATAAAGAAATCGTCAACATGACGACAGATCCAACCGGCGGAAAATTATCACCAGATCTTGTGAAAGACTTGCAAGGTAAAATCAAACTCATAAAGTAAATGCTAACATTTAAAGCGTCCGTACTAAATAAACTTGTCAATAATTGCTGTAGTTTTCCCTTGGTGGAATTAAAATATGTATATAGTTTATGTATGTATTACAAAATTTCGTATTTATCGAAAAAAAACTATATAGGATTTGCAGGTAATAAATTATATTTGACAGCCATTTATTACATATATTCAAAAAAAAATGAAGAGTAGAAAATGTTTACCAGTGATCCTATCTATTTCTGACACAAAGTCATCTTGCATTCCTATATCCGGATTCCTGCAACTGCTCACATTAGATGAGCTCGGCGAGCCTCTGACCATTAAATAAATGCAGCTAAACCTTCCATTTAACATAATAGTTGGTAATGGTTGCTTGGTAAATCTGCGTGTATTTTATTATTTAGATTATGTTTTTTGACATATGACAATAAACATCCCCGTGTAACTAGTATACAACTTGTATAATACCTACATAGTCCTGTCCAAGAATAACATTTGAATTACCAACGATATAGGTTTAATGCAGCTCTTCCAGACCGTTCAAGATATGCAAGAACAATTGAAACAAGTTCACGAAACTGCCTTACTTTTGGCGTCTGAGAAAGAAGACAAACAACTGCACACGAACGTATGAAATGATTTAATGAAGATACGTTTGAATTTTCTTATCATTTATTTGTATTTGATAATTTTTAGGCTCTTCTAGAACAAATAGAACTGTTGAAGACAGTAAAACTCGATCGCGAAGACATGATGGAAGCTATGGCTGAAAAGGCAGATCTTCAAATGTTGGCCCGAAAAGTTTCACATAATCAATTTGAACTTGCTTGTGACGATCTCTCGAGGGGCTTAGAACATGCACTCGGTAAACTTAATTTGCAGGTGTGTCATATTTTATTGCTAATACATATAACACAAAATGTGTAGGTACATAGGTATATTTATGGTGAGCGTAGAATACAAACAATATTCTAATTGGGCACAGGAAGCACTATGGCAACAGGCTCTAGATGACATTCAACGTGAAATTGAAACAAAATTGGACAAAATGGAACTGTCCCCGGTTAAAGACTTTTTCAATAACAAACTGAAACAGCTGCAGGAAAATTTGAAACAAATGGCGTCGTTGAGGCGGGAAGCTGAAGCGGCGGGAACGAAACAGAAGCTATTGAGGTGACCAAGCTTTAGCATGTCAGTGAAATACTTTTATCTACATCATTATGCTGATTGTTACCATTACCATTGCTCTTCTTCAGAGATGTCAATTGTATTTCATGCGATGCGAATGCTGTAATGAAAATGGAAGCTCCATCGACAGTTCCCGTCAGCAAACCATTACCGGCAAATCTATCTATGAAACCGTATCTTAGTTATGAGCTCGGTAAGATTTATTTTTAATACAACTACGAAAAATCTTCTGCAGAGTACCGCGTGATGATAATTTTACAAATCCTGCTTCACAGATGCTATAAGAAAATCGCAGGCAAGTAATCTGCCACAACGTAACTTGCACGACTGGGAAAACATAGATAAACACGTGACAAAACAGCCACCAAGACCAAAGTATGCTTACATTCTAAGCTTTGTTCCTTCATTTACACTTCATTTAAAAACAAACGGCGAGTACACACATGATAAATAACACATAAACGCGAATATGTGAGTGTGAACAACTGCGAAACTGAAGGTGCATTTACCACAGTCTTCGTTCGCGTTGAATATCTTTCATCACGAAGTTTATAAATCAAATATGAATAGAGCGATCCCGCGGATGGAATTATGATGTTGGCTAATGCCAAGTCTGATTCTTTACCCTTGTATTGTCTGCCCTTGGCAATTAAGACGTCCGAAAGATTAAGTGGTTAAAGGACAAAAGGCTTAATTTAATAGGTCAAACGTCTTACATAACGACCTTACATAGGTCTGGAAGTTCCTACCTAGAGGTCCTCTTCAAGCTTCTGCAATCGTTAATTCCCAGGTCGGCAAGGCCTAAAGGTAATAAGCCTGCTGTACACGTAGCATGCGATGCGACGAATCTATGTAGGTAGAAATCCCTCAGGCAGGTACCAACTTTTCCAAGGAAATATGTACTTTTTACGAACGACTTCCACGATAAATGAATAACATAGTAAAATATACCTAAAACAAACATACCTACTACGTAAGCATGTTGTGAAACTTCACAATATGTTGTTGGGATTGGTGCCATCTTACTGCCTGTTCCTACCATAGAACATTGACGATTTTCGTTTGAAAAATAGAGTAGGCTTACCTCAAAGAAATTTTATAGGTACATAGTTATAGCCGACCTCATACTAAGCAATCACGAGAGCCTGTACACTCATTCTACTTCAAGTCAGAAGGTGGAAAATGGTACTTACATCGTTATGTGCATTTGTATTCAGGGGTAAAGAATGTTCTCAGAGATTTAAGTGCCTAACAAATTCATCATTTAGGTTTTTCAGGATTGCAATAAAAGTTTAATGCAAGATGAGCTGTAAAAATTTAAGGAGACGGAAAACACAATGCTGTTAAGCAATGTGATATGACAGTTAGTCGCGGTAGTGGTCGCATAGTGATCATCGAAAAAAATTAAAACAATAATTTAAAAAAGAATTATTATTTAAGCGCTTACCGCTAAACCAATATATTTTGATCAATCACTATTAGACCAATCAAGATCGCTGTGGTGTGAACCCAGCTTAAGATCTAAGACGTATTCATAGACAATTTTAGTTTTATTTCGATTTTTATTATTCTCTAAATGTGATACTAGCAAATGGTACACTATCAAAGGTCTGATGTTTTGAATACTTTTTAAGAATACTTTTAAGTAGTTAGTTTTTATCGTCACAAAGGATTAATATAGACTGTGACGCATTATTAATTTAAATTGCAAATTTACCTTTTAATCATGTCTACGACTCGTAAAAATGCGAGAATATGCTTTTCTTTGTTTTTTTTTTATTGCCCTTGCAGACGAGGTCACGGCCCACCTGATGGTGAGTGGTTACCATCGCCCATGGACTTCAGCAATGCCAGGGACAGAGCCAAGCCGCTGCTTACCACTAAAATGAATGCCTAAAATGAATGAAACGCCTTCATATTTTGTAAAAAATCTAGATCGGAGTCAGATAAGCATCTATGCAACCGCTACTGTGGCGGTTCTCATACGGTGACGACTCCTGCTCAGCGCGTTGCTCGTCTCGGACACTTCATCAAGCAATGGGGACCTGACGTGCTACCATTGTCGTCAGGACTTGCTACCGGCGATGACGGAAAGGTAATGATGATGATAATTCCAACTTTAATATAACAAAAAAAAAAAAACAGTAAAACATTAGTAGCGGTGGTTCTTTGGAAAAATAGAGACATTTTTAATTATTATTTTCCTACCTATGCTGATAGCCTTGCTATAGCTAGCTGTTTCAGCTCAGGGGTTCAAACAGGAGTGTTGCTAACATTGGCCCTAGCAAGAGCAGTGCTTCGCAGAATCTACCACCGGATCGGAAACGCGACCCACTGAGAAGATCCGTCGAGAAACCCAGTGGGCTGTGTCTGTGGGTTAATTTACTCGTCGAGCCCTTCGTCGCAAGCGACGGGTTCGGCGAGGCCGGCGACCGGATTTTTTACGGTTTCGTTAAATATGCTTTAGGAACTGTCTTGGTGTTTAGTGGAGCTTATGGATAGAATAGGGGTCTAGCAACTAAATAGCCAAACTTTCATTGGTAGAGGATGGTTCCGGGGGTCGATTGCTTTTTATACCACCGACATCGAAGTGACGTCACAGAGCACTATTCTTATTGGGGGACCGTAAAAATATTACGCATTTGTCCTTTCTCATTATAGTGCGATTACGAAAATAAAACGATTCAAATTAACGATTGCCACTTTCAGATGTACCGAGTGACTGAAGTGGAAAGCGCGAACGTCGGACCAGGTAAATAATTTTACATACTTTTAAATGCCGAAAATAGATGAGTACCTACCTATTCGGCCCATTTTGGGCTATTAATTTTCGCAACGAAACTCAATTTTGTCGTTGCTAAATTTCTAAAATAACTACCTGCCTGAACACTGCGTATAATTACATGTCTATGTATATCGTAGGCGGTGCAGTTGATCAGACGTGTACACCGAAGTCGCCACAAAAAAAATCAGACACTAATAAGACGCAACATAAATCTGCTGCGATTACTCCCGTGAGTATTGTTACCACAATTACATTTCAGACATTTCATTACAGCATACTTTATCTTATTTTACTTCACAGGAATGCCGATGTCTGGAAGGAAGTAAGTTTTTTTTTCTACTCTATTTTTCGAGTGGTAAATATTTTAATAGCATCGTAGTAAATACATAGTTCATTTTACCAATGATTTTTTTAATTGTGATTATAAATGTATGTTTCAGACCGTTTCGGAAAATAAATAAAAACTATGTGAAATGCGAAAATATATTGTACAGAACAGATTTCAGAAATAAAACATTTTGCCTTAAATTCGACTGTTTTAATGAAATATACTTATTTACCTGCCGTACAATCGTAGCAATAAAAAGGATTAAACTAAACTGTCTTCGTATCCATAAAAAAGCATTCGGACAATGCATCAAAACGATACAGATAAAAATGAAATAAAAGTGAAACTTATTATCCAACATTTAGCAGATTTTTAGCACATTGCATCTTATATTTATTTATTTACACAGGATTATCACACTAAGACATTCTATCTTTAAATCACACGAAACATTTTGATTCAAAATCAAAATTACTAACCAAAGACCGTAGACTGAGCGCTACAATTTTGATCAAAGTAGGTACCTACTAATCCAGCAAACTCATATAAAATACGGACAATGAAACATTTCTCCGAACATCAGCTTTTCTATTATGAGATACTGTTAATTTTAAACACAATAAAATTTCTTATATTTATTTTCGTTTTTCACACAACTTCTAAAAACCTAACTAAATTCTAATGTAACATAGGTACGCGTTTCGATTGGGGTAAAATGACGCAGATAACTAAATCATATATTTACGTGATTAATCAACACTTAAGTTTCTGTTGGTGCCTAATAAGTTCAATTTGTGACAAAAGCTGTACTGAGCTTTGGCACACACAAATGCGCGAGCAGATCATCATCACCAATCACAAACTACCCTAATTTTACTGCCTAATTTCCGGTTTTTCCAATTGCCTAGGCTTGATGTAGGTGATCCAGCACTTCGTAAAAATACATGTCAACTCAAACCAACGTCCCCACTTTTTTATTGATCCAAAAATAATATAATAACACAATATTAATACTTAGTAATATTTAGTAATATGTTGTGTTTGATATTTTGTACATTTGATTGTTTGCGAATGGATCGACTATTCGGGATTCCCCGAAGGCTGTCAGTCTTTTGTAAAATAAAAAAGTTCAGAATGCTCTCGGAAAATCTATGGGAGTTTGGGATGGACTTTTTGACGAAGATTTCAAGCCATTTTTTTCAGTTTGTCCACAATTGTGTTGCATTAGTTCGGTTTAAGGTTGGTTAAAGGGTTTATAAGCCAACATCATTACACATTCACATCAGAAGAAAGGCCAGACTGAAAAATTGAAATAATTCAATCGACACGACCTTTATGTTTCCGCCAGTATGTCCCTCGACGCTGTTCTCAGACTCAGTGATTATGAATATGCAAGGTGAGTAACAAAACCCATTAATACCTGCTAGGAAAGTCAAGAAGTTCAAGGCTTTTCCACAAAGTGTGAGGGTGTGTTAATTACGATAAAGTTAACATTCATCGCGTTATTCACATTTAAGGCAATAAATAAACCCAAATTTCGAAATCGTACCACGCGATTGGTTCGAAAACCTTCCGCAGTTCACGTTTTTCAGTTTTGCGTTATTGTTTTAAAAACCTATCAAAACACAGATAACTGTCTGGGACTTATTTCAGTACAAATCGCTCATCAATACAAAAAACTTTGAATTTCAATTTATGTTTCGACAACCCTAAAACAGGATGGTTGAAAACAACAAGTTTCGAGCTGATTAAAAACTATTTTGAAATTTTCAAATCACTCATATTTATTTTTTTCAATTCACGTAGACACGGCGTCGGTGATTAAATTAAACTTTTACACCGTAAAGTATACGAAGCGTCTTAAGAAATTTTATGAAAATCCAATATTGCTTCTATTCTTATCTAATCATAGATTCTCGAAAAGTAATGAAAAAAAAAAATACAATCTGTAACCCCACTTAACATACATATGTACCGCTATTGTTTTATATAAAAATACGAACTAGACTCTAAATGTATACTAAACTCTGCATACTTAATTACATATTGCTTCTTGATATATATATAAATATTTATATATGAAGTTGTCGCGGCGCTGTCACAGTGGACATTGTTCAGAACGGGACAACAGTGTATTCTCTTCGTTTGCTCATTCACTTGTTTCAAAGAACTTTTTTTTACGTAGACATTACAAATCCATCGGTACCCAATGTTATGTGATAAACGGCTATTATATTAATTGGATGTGCTTCAGCGGAAAGGACTCAAACCACGATAAGTAAAAATAAAAAAAGTTATTCTTACTAAAATGATTTATGTACTAGGAACGAGGCCCGATAAATATTATTAGATCCAATTGAATTAAGAATGACTCTGAACTTAAATTTTCAATAAAGTATTTTTTTTGGATCTTGTGCATTAATATAAATGTTTTTTTACTCGTGTGAAAGTCAACGATCATAATGCTCCGTCTGCACGCTCCGTTTTGCGTGCACGACGCATACCAGTACAAACCAGTTTCCACGGGTACGCGTTAAAATTTGAAGCTAATAACATACATTCGTAATTTTCATAGAGCACTGTTCTCGACCCGCGAATTTACTTCTTCATATGAACGGATTCCGATTTACTGGTCGTCGAATAATTACAGCGCCGCGTTCCGGTCCTTTTGCCGGAAAAAAAAATGCAATTTAACTGCAGAGGCAACACAGAGGGCGCAGACGGAGCTTAAGCCCACGCGCATACTGTGCGTCCGGCGCACGCCCAGAAACCACTCTGACCGTAGGTTTTCTGACGGTGACGTCAGTTACAGATGGAGGAAGTTGCAGGACGGAAGCGCGCAGATACAATATGCGCCTGTAAGGTTTAAGTTCCCGGGTCTGAGCACGTCCACTCGGTGGAGCGCGACGCGACTAGCGGTGTCGTCCGCGGCCACCGTAGTGCCCCTCGCGACTATAGCGGCGCTCCTTGCGAGACTTGTCGCGACGAGACCGGTCCTTGTCCCGCGAGGACTCGTGACTCCTGCAACGATGAAGCTTCGTAAATTAGTTTTACGATGCCAGCCGAGCTTGCGGCTCCAACGAAAACATTGCCCGTGCCGTTTACGATTTAAACACAAGCAAATTCCCAATTGGGAACATTTGTGGACGGACACACCTTATTGTCTTTCATCAAAATTGAAGCATTTGTCTCGAGCCTGAGTGCGGGTTATTGAAAGACGCCGAACCGCAGACGAGAACAATACTATGCCATGTAATTAACTATTTACGTTTGAAGAAATCTAACACAGGTTTTTTTTATTATCCTTGTAGGCAGACGAGACAGCCCATCTGATGGTGAGTGGTTACCGTCGCCCATGAACTTCAACAATGCCAGGCTGCTGCCCGCTGCTAGCATACGGCCCATCTAATGTCTAATAAATAATTTCATTTAATGTCCTCTCATTTAATCTGAAGTGCGTCACTTACAATTAAATAATATGATTTGGTAATCGAATTAAAACCTCCTCCACGGTTAAGACTCCCGTTTATTATTATTTATTAAGTATATTGAAACCGTAAAACTTGATAATCGAAGGTTACTACTAAGAAGAATAATACTATTACAGATTAATTCACTTACAATAAAATTCGTTACATTTAACTTGTGAACTGTTTCATTATATATTACTACACATTAAGAATTATTATTTAAAAAATAATAACACGATATGAATACATTTTTATTATTATTATTATTATTTGAAATTGAATGTTAAATTTCGACCTTTGAGGAATAAAATCGTATGAACAGCTTAACATTAGCCTAACATTTGATATTCCAAATAGTAAATGAATTTAAAAAAATTATGATCTTAGAACCGAAATCGCAAGCCCAAGAACCAAATCTTCACAAAAACATTTATATTAAGAATCCGTCTTAAGCGTGCGATGTCGCAAGAATCACAGTCCCAATAACATTGGCGAGTAAATTCCCAATAACATTGGCGAGTAAATTCCCAATAACATTAGGCGAGTAATATGTTGAGTAGGTACCTAGTCTCGCCGGCGGAGCGGCTGTCGCGCGACTTGCGCCGGACGGGGCCGCCGGACCGGGACCGGGGCGACCGCGACCGCGACTTGTCCTGTTTCGGCGACGATTCGCGTTCGCTATTCAAATTGAAATCGTCAAACCTAAAAGCATATTTCAATTTAACAACCTACATTCGAACAGTGTCGCGTAATAATACATTTCATTCATTTTGTTTAAGATAAAAAGGGAACAAGTAAATATTCGTTATATCAAGTAATTCTATATCAAATACTTAAATAAATAAATAATTCCGTAAACTGAGGTTTGTTATATTAAGGTTAGGTTGGCCTGTGTGTGTGTGTGTGCATGTTCCCTCTAAAATACGAAACGGCTAGAACCATTTCGATTACCAACAAATAAGAACAGGTCAGTGAACCTTCGATGTAACAGAGACAAAACGGGAAATAAATATTAAATAAACATTAAATGAAACGTTTTTCATAATAACAAAAATAATAAAATAATAATAATAATCACCACATTCACCTAACTCACACGGGGAGTTACCACCACCCTGCTTATCTCTGTCGCGGGACAATAATAATTGCTAAGTTTAGTCCTTTCTAAAACCATGTCATGTGCTCAGCAACCACTTAACGCCAAGTTAAAAAACAAATTTTAGCGTTTCATTTTTTTATTCCTACCTAAGCTGATTACCTAGAGAGACTATGTCAGCGTAACCCTAATGTCTAGGTGAGCTCTCAGGGCTCGAACCAGGAGGCGTTGCTAACAGTGCCCAGCAAGACCCATGCTTCGCAGAATCTACCCCCGGATCGGAAATGCGACAAACTGAGAAGATCCGGCGAGAAACTCTGTGTCTATGGGTTAGTTTACTCGTCGAACCCTTCGTCGAAAGTGACGGGTTCGACGAGAAGTGTTACACACGTCTCTAATTATTATTGTTATATCCAGAAAATGGTGAGGCAAACTTAGTTTTCCTAAATAGGTTTCCTTGGAATTCCATGTAAATGTGGGCATATGTTTCAGACAGCAATAATTCAAAAATATTCAAACTAAAAACGCGAATAAAATAATTACTATTTAGAATTCTCAATGCTGAAACTAACAAGTATAGTCCAGCTTTACTATTCATTTTTTAGATTTTATAACCAAATATAAGACTTAATTTACAACGAAATCCTACTAATGCCAGCTCGGTTCTAAGAACTATGTAATGCGAAACTCACTTATTTTTTGGAGTCTGGGAGGAGCTGTGACTAGAGCTGGAGCTTGATGAGGAACTTGATGAAGAGGACGAACTTCTGTGTCTGTCAACAATAAATCAATGTCCATTGTAAGATTAATTTAAAAATGCAAATAGTGATGGGAAGCTGTAATTAAATATTTTCACAAAGTAAAATAATATTGAGTTGTGAAAGTACTGAAACTCCTCTCTGTCATGACTAAAGGTGCTCCGCAGCCTCATTCAGAAATAATGCAATAGATTTCATTTCAGAGATTAAAGTGTTCCTTGTGTCACTCTGTACAAACAACTAGTTGATTTGTGGTAGGTTTATTTCTGATATGCAGCAATAATGCCTTTGTGTTTGAAGGGTGAAGCAATTGCTGTATTATAAAACTGATACTTAGAAGTAATGTCTCAAGGGAGTGGCAACATTAACGTTGGGAATGTCTATGGGCTCCGGTGACCACATAACATCAGGTAAACCGTGAGATCGTCCACCCATCTAAGCAATAAAAAACAAGGCGTTGGTACGTATAATCACCACCAAGCGAATGTACTGTCATGCTTATTACAACAGATATGTCCAGTGTTGCCACAGTTGTGTCATTTACCAATGTAAAAAGTTTTCTGTGTTAATCCAGGCTATAAGCTTCGTTTAGGTATCATTGCATGATTGAGTAAACAACAATAATGGAGAGTCAAGGTAAGAAACGCACTCTCCTTTTATGAAAAACTGTCCGTCCAAAGGGGACCAATTAGTGTGGCGCCACTGTAGAATGTGGTGTAATTTGAAAGATTGCTTTAAAAGCTACAATATCCGATATCTGAATTCAACAGACTTCATTCCTCCTATAAGACAGTTCTCGTTACCTCTAAACCTTAGTATAACAACAACAAAATTACGCATTAATATTGAATATTACAAATAACTGGGCGAGTACCTCTTGTTATTTTTTATATCTGGTGAAGCTGTCTTCCCGTTATCTTCTACTTCGGGTACGCTCTCCTTTAGACTTTCACTGACTTTAGATTTATCTGCATCATCTAAAACGTATTTATAGTGCTGTTAAAACTATTGTTTCTTTCACATGAGAAATACACCCTGAAGTACATTCTCATGTTGTATTTGTTATTTTATCTGTTCTACACAGACTCATCACTTTTAATTATTATTCTTATAATCCTCTCGCAGGTCTGCTGGAAGAGATTTCTTAAAGAAATAACCTTTGTACATAATTTTCCTACTACTCTGTACTATGTCTTCTTTTTTGGTGTACATAAATAAACAAAAAAAAAAAAAAAAATACACTCTCGTACTTCAAACCGAAGACGTGTGCTTCGCGACAGAAACGGGATCGACGTCCCTACTAGTGCGGATTTATATAAGTACTTATTTAAACTGGTAATTACGCGTACTCATGATATATTATGCAGGTTTGACTTTTATTGCAAGTTATTCCTTCATCGATTTTCTAACATTCGTTTCGAGATTTTTTCTTGTGGTAGGGCGTTGTGTGAGACCGCACGGTTAGAGATCACGACGGTGCCAATATCTGTCGCGAAGCATCAATGCGATACAATTTTAAGGGTATAAATGTTATACTCTATTGAGACTTAACCTCATGGCTGTAAGTGGGTGGCTGCCATCATATAGAGATGTCTATCAGTTCCGGTACTTTAAAAAGTTGCATAACTTGACAATAGCTCACTAGGTATCTTACTCTAAGCCACGACATTATTGTTCATTTGTGTTAATGCATCCGAAAATCAACCTCAAGGGATCAAAGATATAACCTTTTTTAGAAGAAGTTCCCCTTTCTTCATCACTGCCCCACAAATCGTATTTTGATAGGTCTGCCTCATCTCCAGATTCCTCATCATCTTCCTCATCTTGTTCGGCCCCATCTTCAGTTTGATGAGCTTGTGTCTTATTCTGGAACAAAATAGATTAAATAGTCTAATAATTACAGTCATTAATTTACATTTTTACATTGAGAGCCAATAATACACAGATACAAACCTTCTTCTTTTGTTTCTTCTTGCCGTCTCCCTTTTTGGGATTCTTATCTGAACCCTTGACTGTCAATTTAAGTCTATTTAATAAGATAGGTTTCGGTAGCGCGAAACTTTTGAAATTTCCTATAACTGGAGCATTTTCATTTATGTGTTTAGTTTTTTCAGTTTTATCTGGGTTGAGATTTTGGAGATTTAAATTGAGATTTTTAGCAACATTTGGAGGTATTACTACTGGTCCTGGGTCAAAAATATCACTTAGAAAAGGTGTGTTTCCTCTATTTCCGTGTAACTGTTCTAGTTGTCGTTCTATACTTTCTCCTCGGTTTGTTTCGCGTTCCCATTCTTCATCATTTATTAAATTAATGGTTTCGACATGCTGAACATCTTCACTTGAAGAATTATGTTCAGTTATATCTACATTTTCAGTTTCTGCAGATGACTTCTGATTTATCTGTTGCAAGTTCTGAAGAGCTAATAAGAGGTTATTTGTGTCAATTCCAGCCAAAAGATCTGATAAATCCAGGGGAGGGACTTTTGCTGTTTGTTCTTGGGTTACTTCTAACACAGGCTCTGTAACGGATTCTTGGACAGTGTTGTTTATTTCGCTTTGTGTTGAAATATTAGAAGGGTTTTCATACAGTTTCTGTGTTGATATGAAATATTTATGATTCGGTTGTATGGAAACAGATTCCAGAATTTCTATGGATTTTGATGGACTTTTAGTGTCATTTGATTTAGACATCATGTGTCTATTGACATCACAGACACTATCCTGACTAGCAGTTTGTATTATTTCAACTGATGGTTCTCTGCTCACTGTTATTGGTTGATCGATATTTTTAACAGGCTGAGCTTGTACAATATTTTGAACAGTAGTACTATCATCTATATCTGATTCAGAGACAGCAGGGTCACAGGGTTTCAGAGGCGAAATTAATTCACCCAGCTGTTGGCATTTATTGACCTGGATTTCTTTTAATAAACCAAGTAACATTTCTTGTTTGAAAATACCTGTAATAGATTTGTTAGAAGGGTCAGGTTGAGGTTCTGTATCTGCTACAGAATACAGCATGTTTGATAATGGACTTTGCATTGGGGCTACTACAACTGTATTTTGTGGAGGTGTAGACGTTTTGTGGACATTTAATCCAGTATCAAATGAATCTTTGTACAATTCATCATCATCTTCATCCCACTGAGATTCATATCTTTTTAGTATGCTGTCATAATCAATTTCTTGACTTTCTTCAGGACTAGTTCTAACTTCGTTAGTTTCAAATATATCCATAATGCTTTTATTTTTATTATTTGATGCAGACTGTACCACAGCAAATATTCGATCCGAATCTTCATGGTTAGTGGGAATTTTCACTTGATTACAGCTTTGTGATGGCTTGTCAAATGATAAGTACTGGTCATCTGGTGCAATATAATCTAAATCATCTTTAGTAAAATCATCAATCTGGTTCATCACAGCTTTCTTCTGTGTTTGAGAATTGTAACACTGTATTTCTGTAGGATACGAGTTGTTTGTACTACGGTCTACATGTTTAAAGGGGATGGCATTAGTCTGAACAGTAATTTTTGGAGGTTTTTTAATTGTGTTCCAATTCGAAAAGCTGGTACTACACTTTTGTAGTGGTAAATTTCTGGATGTGTTATTGTTTCGTCCGAAAGCTGCTCCATTTCCTTTGGCCCAATAACCTTTCCGACGAACATTGTTTTTAAACTCTTGGTAATTTTTCTTTGCAGTGGAACCAACTTTTGTCGGTACATACTCTATGGAACCTCCATCTGTATCAACAAGTTTGCTGTCATGTTCTCTTACATTCATGACACTCAAATTAGATGTATACCTATTTGAAGCCTCTAGTGATGGCTGGTCTGGGTTTACACCAGTACTGTAGCCTTGGAATGTCTGAGACTCAATGTTTGGACTGTAGCTTGTTAGTTTTGCATTGGATAATGCAGAGCGTCTTCGAACTCTTCGTCTTAATTTTCTACCTTCGCCATAAACTCTTGACAAAAAATTTTCATCTTCACTATTGTATGACATAGAATCTGAATCAGAATCCTGTATAGACAGTTTTGTCTGAATCTTATTGTTCGAAATACTTTTCGGATTTATTCGTTTCTCTAATTTCTCAGAATCACTGTCAGGATAATTTGAATATTGACTAGCACGTGAGCTAGATCTAGTTCTTTGATGTGTAGAAGGAGAACGACTTCTACCATCTCTTTGAGAGCTCTGGCCCTCTACTGTGCTAACTGAACTTGCCAAAGCACGAGCATCTTTCTCTAAGCCTGGAATGAGCAAGGTTTCAGCACTGACACTTCTTTGGTCCAAAAACTTTGTTTTTGTTTGACTAACATTTTGGAGGCTTTCACCACTATCTGATTCTATTGGAATTTCATCAGGATTGGCTATTTTTGTCACAATTTTGTCTACATTTACATTGTTCAGAAGTTTGTTAGCAGTGCTACTGAGAGGAGACAGCTTTAAAGAACTATTAGTTATTTTTTCATTAACATCTTTCTTTGCGTCTAAATGTGAGTCAACCAGACATCCTGTGGTAAGTAATCTCTGACGCCATGCAAATATTGTTTTGAAATCAGGAGCTGGTTTGTCATAAAATGATTCAAATCTATCTGTACTGATTTTACAATTGTTGTACACAATAGCAAAAGCCGCAGCCTTCACTCTTTCTTCAATTGTATAACTGACTTGAAAATCATCAGCTGGAGTTGTCCCAGCAAATGTGTAGATCACATTATCATTATTAGTAGAAGACACTCTGTTCTCCATTACAGGGTTGTAAGGTTTATTACATGTTGATTCAATACTACTTCTCTTGCTTCTCTTAGAACCAGTTTCATAGCCTGATGATGCAGCATGGTCTCTGTCACCTGTGCTTATAAATCTTTTACGAGGTTGATTGATAGTTTTATATGTTGGCAACATATGATCTTGCCTATGATAGTTAGTCTGGGTTTGAAGTTGATTTCTTCTGAATGCTACCTTAGTAAGTGGTGGAAAATCACACACTGAGCTATCACTAAGGCTGCCTTTTGATATTTTTACACTATTAGCATTGTTCGTCTTTGAAGCAGGTACAGGCATTTTATGGTCCATATTTGTTTCCATCTGCAGCATTGTTGAAGGCAACTTTTTGGGTGCTGCTCCTTCAGTGATGCCAACCTGAAGGCAGGAAAAATAATCTCCACTTTAGTAACAATGTGCTTCAACAGGGTATTTGAGAGCAAAATTCTTCTGTTTCAAAGTCCATTATCACCTGAATTGGCAATAAAATAATATTCTCCAAAGCGGTCAAAGCTAGACTATGTTTACAAGATGTTATTACTTCGTTGTATGAATTAATAGTGGCATTACGTTAGTAAAATCAGTAGCTATGAACACACTAATGATGATTAGGTATTATGATTAGCTTTTGCTGTGTTATTCAGTGTTGTTTGTATTAGTGCATTTTTTTTATCTTCTACATATTTTTAGAACACATACCTTGTCTTGTTGTTCCGATTTGCGTTTACGTTTCTTTCTTCCAAATTCGTCATATTCATCATCGGAAGAATGCTCACGACGTCTGTACTCTACAACTCCGCGCTCATTATAACCGCCGCCGTAACCGGTACGAGCTTCAACCTAAAATTATATTTATATTAAAAGTATTTACTACTTCATTGATATTTCTATTCACTATTTTCTTTGTCGATAACACACTCACTTCACCAAATTTTGGTGCATTGCACACATTACACGTTTGACGCCGAGCCCAATTCACATTGGCACATTTATTGCATTGCCAATCATCAGCGTTGAAAAGGCCGCGAGACTTTTCTGCCGCTGACTTTCCGATCTCCGTTCCAAGCTTTTTTTTAGAAGGCTTTACCCCATCAGGCCTATCTTTATTACATCGGTAACATGATGCCCGACGAGCAAAATTAATATTTCCGCAACTTGGATCACTGCAAATCCAGTCGCCGTCGTTCATTTTGCGAACGATGAATATTCTTTCTTCGTCACAAATGTTTCATTATTTATAATGGAACATATTCATAGTCTACACTTGTAAAGAATCATTTATAACGCGTTATTTCAAACTTAGATACGTAAATAAAAGTCAAAACATTCATTCACGACTTAGAAAGAAAACCAAGCTCACTTTCGCAAGAAAAGCAATCAAGCTTCATGCCAGCCATGACGTGACGCAAGCGCCTCTGAGTCTGCTTTTTAATATGACTTGGATACGAGTCCTTTAAGACGTATCTTAGTAGCAAAATTTTAGTAATTCAACTTATTTTAACGACAAGCACCAAGGATTTTTTTTTTATTGCTTAGGTGGGTGGACGAGCTCACAGCCCACAGGCCACAACGACTGTAAATTAAATTGGTATTAAAAATTATTGGTATTAGTAATGATTTAGGGAGTTACAAAGTTGTATTCAGTGTACAAAAACATATAAAATCTAAATATCTCAAACTTAATTTCAAAAAATAAATAGTAGATTGTGAACTTAATAAGTTTAAAAAAAAATTTGAGACTTACGCTTATTATTATTGGTCTTGACTCTTGGTTAAGATAAAATAATGAATTTTGATGTGAAGTGAACACGCGTGATCCTCTTTTAGTCGATTGGTTTCAGTTATATTGCTAGACATAGATTATACATGATTGCTAGATTTAAAAAAGAATTTTCAGATTTACAGCTTGGTACATTACTATTCCAGTTCGAGCCTCGCGCGCAAATTCTTCTGTCAAAGTTGTAATAAGTTGTTTATGTGAGGTTACATGGTCGCAAAATTTACATTTACATTTTTTCCTGAAATAATAATGAAGACAAGTTCTAAAGATCAAACTTAAATATAACTACTCCGGTGTCACTAGCCTTCTAGTTTTCGCTGTGTCTGTCAAAAAGTACGCGAATATTTCATAGCTGTGGATTTATGCATAATGTTATCACACGATGTATGAAGATGATAACATCACTTGTACCCCAAAGCGTTTTGTGCTCACTGAAGTTACGAATTCATCGAGTTATGTATCGCCGACAGCAAATCTCAAATTACTAACAAATGTCGCGTTACAATATCCTACACCGCCGCCCAGTGCTGTGCAACGCAAAGAGAAATCACTTCAAATATTGTGTGACAGGTAAGCCTTTTTCACATAGAAAATAAATCCTAAATAGTACTATATTAATGAAAATTTAAAATATGTATTTTTTGTTTTAAGATTCTTACAGCTCTATCCACTCAAAGGTAATGGAACGGTGGAAATTCAGTTGGACAGTACTGCAGCCAGGTTAGGTGTCGAGAAGCGACGTATATACGACATCATTAACATCTTAGAAGCCATGCAATGTGCTGTTCATAAAAGGAAGAATACATATTTGTGGCATGGGGGATCAAGATTAAATTCCTTCTTGAAAATGTTAAAAAAACAAGGGGAGAGCATGAGACTGTCGGAGGCCCTCAGAGGTAAAGCACCAAAGCCTCCAGCGCCTAGACATAAAACATTAGGGGTCCTGGCTCAAAGATTCCTAATGTTGTTCTTAGTAGAACCTCTAGTAAGTATTCTATTCAGTGAATTCTAATTGTTTTTTTTTGCTGCACACGGATGTAGACAGTTAAAAAAGAAAAAGCTTACAACTAATGATACCACATCTACTTGTTATATATTGACTTATTATAATATAAATACTAAATACTGTGTATATTAATATAATACATTATGTGTTCTTACAATATATCCTATATCAACAGTAAAATTCACTATACAAACATATGAGTTTAGTTCAGTAATGTGAATGGTGGGCAATCAGAAATATTGGCAAAAATGGGGAGGCTTATGCCCAGTAGTGGGTATCAGGGCTGAAGATGATGATGATATTAGTGATGGTACTTATTCTGTTTCTTTTCATCAAAAGGACTATATAATATATATCCTATGTAGTATATAAAATATATACACATTATTGGACTAATGTTACTCAACATGTGTGCTTAATTAAGCTTTTAATTCCATTTACTGGATATATTATTGAATAGTAATAACTTTTATTTTAATTTCAGAATACATTAATCAATTTAGAAATGGCTGTGAGGGTACTTATTGACACATCTAACAAGAACAAGACAAATCTCTCCCTGGAACAACAGGATCGGCAACATAAGTCTAAAGTGAGGAGATTGTATGATATTGCCAATGTATTGATATCCATTGGTCTTATAGAAAAAGTATCCGGAAATTTAATATTAAAGAAACCTGTATTTAAATATGTGGGGCCTTGCAAAATGAAAAAATGTGAAAAAACAATGTTAACAACCCCATCGCCTATTACCCCTGTAACTGTATTGGAAAGCCAGTCTAAGACACCGACATTGCAAGTATTCGCAGGAAAATCTAAACGGAAATTAGAGTTCACTACTCCAAGTTCGACCAAAGAAATGAAACTTGGTATCACAACCCCACCTCACACTCCGTCACACAAATGGGATGAAATCCTGCTCGTAGCTGACATGGAACTGACTAGAATTAACAATGGAGCTGTTTTGTGATTATTAATTTACTGAAAACCAAGATTTTTCTAAATGTGTTAGAGAAGGTTGCCAATTTTTAAAATTTAAGAAAGTGTCCCCTGTGCCTTATATTTGAATGCTGTTGTGCTATACATATTGTCTTCCAAGGGGATAATTATATATTATGAAAAGAATAAGAATTTAACATGTTCCTATATTGAAATTTTATTCACTTGTTTTATGAAATAGGTATATCTTGTCACAGACAAAATGGTGCAATAGTCGTTGCATATGTAGAAAGTAAAACTGTAATTATGTATTATGCTTGTGTATAAAATTGACCAATATAATAGAATGATGGCATAATTTATATAAAATTATATGTTTATTTTAATTTACGATCAACACTATGGATATAGTAATGATCACAAGATTATTATACAACTACAGAAATATATTTTTAATGACATAAAAATTTAAAATCAATTTGGAATTATAGCTATTGCATTACTATACTATCACAAAAGATTAAAGAATGAGAGATATTAAATTATAATTATTTTTTTAATTAAGGGTTTATTTAAATTATTGCCTATGACGAAATGATCAGGAAAGAAATCATAAAAATTTACAGAAATATATAATATATTTATATAGATACATAAATTTAAAACAAGTTAGTATATTTATGTGAGAGTTTAGACTGTCGATTTTAAATGCTGTACTATTTATCAAATACTTTAACTACTTTCTATCTGCCCCTGGGACTGATTGAAAATATACTAACCCTTTGGGACAAAAAAAATATTTTTATTTTTAACATAAATGGTTTTAACATATTAGTTATAAAATAAATTAGTGTCAAATGACACTTTCATTTATTGTGAAGTTGCTTATTTTGACTTTTTTTAGCCAGACTTCTATTAAATAAAAAACTTATATAGAAATGCTGTTTTCTTTACTTTGAATAAATGAAGAGACAGTTCAGCGGACGTCTGCTCAATCGTGCTAATATCCAAAACAACGGGTTTTAAATAAAAGGGGATGTTAGAACGTTTATTTATTTAAATCTTTAAGATAAAGTACAATAAATTCCTCTAATATATGAATAAAAATGTTATTTATATTTGGTTTTCATTTATTAATTCTACAAAATCATTTTCTATAGGCTGGTACGTTCTGTATGATTGCTAATAGGCTGTCAGCATTGTCTAATAACTTCGCCAGACTAGGACAGTCGAAACCAACCAGTACTGCATAGCGCATAGATAATACACTTATGCTTAGCGTCATATAGCTGTAATAAGCAACACTGCTGGGTTAAGCTGACAACCCTTATTTTTACACGTAAATAAATATCATTTATTATTTAATAAATATTATTTATTTATACTGTTAATCTTCAACTTTATAATGTTAACAATGTAAGCCTCTGTATATCATGTAGACTAATGTTTTATTTATCTTTGATGCAGAAACACTATTTAGTAATTTAGTTTTATTTTTTACAATACACAGGCAATGTGTAGTAAATGTGCTTATGTATAATATGGCAATTTTTCGATGATAATTAATATGTTGATTACTTGAATGAATTAAAAGTTTAAAATAAATTCGAAAACACCTTTTTAATAATTAATTAACAAACAAAAAAGGTATTAATAAATATTTTATACAATATACACTCTTTATTTTATTTATTACATGGGTAAACGAGCTTACGGCCCTTCTGGTGTATAGAGAAGCCTATAGAAGTCACAAAGTGAACACCGTCACCCACCTTGCAACACGAGGTCGATATCCCACCCTTAAAACCGGAACTAAGGACTGATTCGGGGCAGAAATAGGCAGTATGGTGGCACTTACTTGTGCGTGGCTTAGAAATGCGCCCTAGCACCGGTAATACACCCTACCATCAGTACCTAAATACCGTTAAATTTAATCATGTTTAATTATTAAGCTCAGTTATACGGTGGTGAGGAGAGAACCGGCCAGGCGGCGGAAGGAATAAAGGAAGATAGCTCTGTCACACTTGCTCAATCATCGGAAACTGCTCCGGGTCTTCAAGATTAGGTAGTGCCTCTGCATCGAAGAAGCTTGCATGAAGGGCGACTACGGTTACCGTTGCACCTATTGACAAAGTAGTTTAATGTTAATAGAAAAATTTAATTTAGAATGAATGAAATGGACATATAAAAACGGATGTTTACATACCTAAAACCCAGAATAAAACGGCTCCAGCTCCAGCAAGCCAACAGAGTGCCATGGATCCGGCAGCAGCTATAACATACTGCTGTGGTTTCGTTAACTCCCAACCACCAATCTAGGAAGTCGTAAGAAAAAGAAAGACTAGAAACTGGAAAATATATTTCGTTCCATAAACTGAGAAACAATAAGTATCAGGAGTATAGTTAAGAAAGAAATCCACTGATAAGTTTTTAAAAAACATTCTTCTTACCTTTGGCTGAAAAAGATTAAACTCTTTCAATTGAAATTTATTAAGATACAGCAGAGCTGAACTTCATTCTCACCATTATTACTATTTCGTGTTTTTTTATATATTTTTGAATAGACTGTACATTCAACTTCAACAACCTACCCCCATTAAGTATAAAAAACTAAACTAAACTTTGAAATAAAATATTATTATAAATTTTTCACAACTTATTATAAGACAGTTTTACAGTTAGACCCTTTGTGATAAAAACAGTTTTAAACAACAATTTTTACCTTCCAAGTATTTGGCCCTGAAGTTAATTTTCTATATCCAAAGAAACTGGCCACCATAGTGATCAGCAAAAGTGGTGATGTTATGCTGAAAATATATTAAAATATAAACTATGTTATATTTCTCAATTTTCATGACAGTAATCATTTCTATCCGATGATTTGAAGGCGAAGTAAATAGTTCTTTAGAAATAAGGTGACACTCTACAAAACATGCATACGCCCGGTCATGACCTATGCAAGTGTAGTGTTCACTCACGCGGCCCTCACAAACTTGAAAGCCCTTCAAATAATACAATCCCATTTTTGCAGGATTGCCGCCGGAGCCCGAAATCCGAAACGTGAACCTCCATGGCGATATGGACCTAGAGTCCATCAGTAAGCATCTACAGTCGGCATCAGTGCGCCATTTCGAGAAAGTGGCACGAAACGAGAACCCTCTCATTGTAGCCGCCGGAAACTACATTCCCGAGCCTGGGGACCGAATGGTAAACAGTCGACGTCGCCCAAAACACGTCATTTCGGATCCTCCCGATCCACTTACAGAGCTTTTAGGTACCCCAAGCACCGGTCATCATTCTCGTCGAATCCGTCGCTTACAACGAAGGCCTCGGCAATAAGAATACAGCAACAATTTGAAGTCGTCGTGGCCTGAAGGATAACACGTCCGGTGCATTCGTATCTTGCGATGCACCGGTGTTCGAATCCCGCAGACAGGTACCAATTTTTTTAATGAAATACGTACTTAACAAATGTTCACGATTAACTTCAATGAGGAAGGAATAACATCGTGTAGTAAAAGTTAAACGCGCAAAATTATAATTTGCGTAATTACTGGTGGTAGGACCTCTTGTGGGTCCGCACCACCCCGACTATTTCTGCCGTGCAATAATGCGTTTCGGTTTGAAGGGTGGGGCAGCCGTTGTAACTATACTGAAACCTTAGAACCTATATCTCAAGGTGGATGGCGCATTTACGTTGTGGGTATATGAGTTCCAGTAACCACTTAACACCGGGTGGCTGTGAGCTCATCCACCCATCTAACCAATATAAAAAAAACAGTCCACTGAGTTTCTCGCCAAATCTTCTCAGTGGGTCGCATTTCCGATCCGGTGGTAGATTCTGCAAAGCACTGCTCTTGCTAGGGTTAGTGTTAGCAACGACGTCAGGTTTGAGCCCCGTGAACTCACCTACTAGTTAAGGTTACGCTGAAATGATCTCTAAGGCTATCAGCTTAGGTAGGGCAAAAAAAAGGTAATCATTTATACTGAGGCCCAAAAATGTCTTCAATTATAATAAAAAAAGATCTTTAGAAGAATACTAGAACTACTTACAGGCAATAGGCAAACAGTCCCAGAAATACAATTAGGTAATTAGCTTGAAAATATTCTATGTTACGATAGAATCTTCGAGACAATCTTGGTATAGACACTGGTACCTGAAAAATGTATTTCATAAATGGTTTGAACTATATTATGGGAGACCACATACTTTGTCCGGATCTGTGAATGAATTTGTATATCTTGGTTCTCTGATAACAAATAATAATGACATAAAAGCAGAAATAGTTAAAAGAATATTGTCGGCGAATAGATACTTCGGCCTGCTTTAATATTTGTTCCAAAATTCTGTCACGAAATATCAAAATTCTTCTATATAAAAGCCTACTGAGACCCATTCTTATTTATGGCTCAGAGACATGGGTACTCAGCAAAAAGGATGAGAACCGTTTACTTGCGTTCGAGCGTAAAATCCTAAGACGGATATTCGGTGCTATAACCACAAGTTGTATGATATTTACAAGAATCCTAATATCATAAAAACTATAAAAATTGGACGCCTACGATGGGCAGGACGTGTATTTCGAATGGAGAACACCAGAATGCCAAGAGAACTACTATATGGCAAACTGCCACAGAAGTGGTGGCAGGCCCAAACTCTGATGGTTAGATAGCGTAGAGCCCGGACCTCAAAGTTGTCGGTTTCAGGAAGTGGAAGGAGAAAGCCTTGAAACAGAGCAGTCTGGGGAGACATACTGCACCAGGCTAAGGCCCACCCTGGGCTGTAAGGCCTAAGATGCTGATGATGATGACATACTTTGTTCTGGGGAGGTGATGAAAATATTTTCCACCGCAAGAACAGTAAAGCAGTATTCTGTGTTCAAGTGCATGGCATTCAGGTTGTGATGTCTCTGCTCTCCAGTAACTTCAAACCAGGGCAGTGAAAGTGACCACTTATATTTGTCAACATAAAAGGGATGGCGGCTGCTTTAAGCTATGAAATATTAGTAGTCATTGTGATACTATTCACATAATATGATAAGTAACCATGTGAAAATTATAATATACATACAAGAATATTTTACACAGCTTAGCGACCATACTAAAACTAGGTTCAATGTTATGATGCATCTGCGTATTGGCTTTATTATCTAAATATTTATTATTACCACTTTGAGGTCCCTATCACACTTCTGAGGATAAACTCCTTAGCAGATTAAAAATTTCTACATTATGATTATGGTATTCAAATGTCTACAGTTATATGTGCTATAATATGTAGCTCTGGAAATTTTTAGGGTTGCAGCTAGATGTTCTTTGAAGTTGGCCACACAGTAGACTGGGTGAAGTCTGTTTCCAGCAATGATTGTCTACAATTTTTTTTTATTATTATGAAAAAGTTATTGCAAAAGTAACCATAATTAATAATTGAATTCATAAAAGTTGAGATAACCTTAAAGTTGTCAGTGGCAACAAATTGTGTCCATGACCTGCGTGAAGATAAAACTCCCATCAACAATGCAGGAGCCGCACCACTACGTACATGCTGCAACAACCTATAATTACAATTTTACCTTTTAGCACTGAGATAATTTTTCAGATACATTTCTGTAAGTACATTTATAAAAGAACCTAT